GCAGGAAACAAGCAGATAAAATGAGGGTAGGAACTGGGTAGCTTTATCCAATGAGGTTTCTAGCTTAGGGATGGGATATAAATGTTTAGACTCAGGCATGACTTCATAATGGTTAAGAAATTTGTTCCTTTAGGAAAAGCAAAATAACATTTGCCCACTAGAGCGCAGCCATGTTAACATTTATGTTTGACTATTGACAATTCATTATAAATAGTTTTTCACAATGGGATCTCCTAAATTAGTCTCAAGTCAGTTTTCTTCTATAATGGGCAAAAAAATCCCCAAGGTTCCGGTAATAGTTTCTGGGCTTGTGGCATTGTGCACTAGCTTGTGAACTGTATCGATTGTCTTTGTAGTGCTTGCAAATGAAAATTCCCATTGTAGCATACAGTATGAAACGAATGTGTTGCAAACTTAATGCTGGACACGAGAGGGCAATGTTTCCCTAGGAATTTTCTTCCTAATGTAATTGTAAGTTGGAGAGAAGAGAGAGATCGATCCTTTTCTTGTAAAATTAGCTTTACTTGTATCTAGGTAAAAATGACCCCATCCTCAGGATTGTTTCAACTAGATTTGCTCATTTTCTAAGAGCTACACTACATTTTTATATCTTTGCTCAGGACCTGCTACAAAATTAATGTGTGGGATGGGATGGGGGAGATCATACCTACCCTCCATCATTTTTCAGATGAAAATAGGTGCACACTTGTGTATTTATAGTGTCATGCTTAACCCACTTCTCTGAGTGGTTGGAAGTTCTGGAAGCACAGTGCTTACCCGGGTTTGGTTTCATTTTGAAAAGAATGTCACTGGAGGCTCCTTGGTGTTTTGAAACTTTTAAGTGCCATTATATATGTTGTGCACAGCTTTAAAAACCCAACAGCTCTCCCAAAGCTTATAAAGTCCAGCTCTCTCAAGTCTTTGAGTCAAACTTGCAGGTTGTTTCCTTCACAGACCCTGAGACTGCATCCTTCGCTGAAGGATGGAGAAGGCCTTTGGCTAAAAGGAAGAGGAAGAAGATCTCCCAGGTAGGGTTGGGAGATATCCCTGTGTGCAACCCTGGAGAGCCACTCTCTCAACCCGCTCTCCCCCTTATGGTGGAATTCATTTACTTCATTTGGTCTGTCCTCTGCACTAGCTTCTGAAACATGCCCTCCAGTAAAGTGATCATGAACATGTGTAGCTTGTACAAAAATAAAAAAGGGTTTAATACAATGTTTTAATCTCACACTGAATCTGGCTGTACACTCAGCAGTTTTACCTCTGGATAACAGTTCTTGGGGTAGAGTGAGAAAAGAAAATACTACTCTCGAGCATACTCACCTATGTGCATTGTAGCATTTTTTAAAGGAATCTACCAAATAGCCCAAAAGAAAGAAAAAAATAGGGAGAGAGATTTATTAAGGACAAGCAGCAGAGAACAGGGGCTGTCCATGGTACAGACACATAGTGGGAGTCCTTTTTTTCTCCCCCCCTTAATATAATGTTTATTGAATTTCCCTTTTTTTAAAACAAATTGACTTCAAATTAAAGAATAGTTGGAGCCTTATGACATGAGATGCCTAGCTGCTTGTGAATATGCTGCTTTGTTCCCATTCCTTTTACAGGTGTTTCACTCGAGGCTCTAGGACACTTTGCTTTTCAGGAGACCACACATTACTTGCACAGTTGCAGCTGTTTTGCTGCTTGCTCTGATTCCTCCAGCATCAACAATATGCTCTGGATCCATCCAACAAATTCCTATTACAGCCCTAAAGTGTTCCTTTTCTTCACCTGTTAGTTAAAGGCTTCAATGTTAGTTAAAGGCTGACTCATGCACCACACTGTCCTATAAGAATGCCACCCCAAGTTTCTCCATATGATCAGAATTCTCATTACAGTTATTATACACTTAATGACCATGTAGTAATAATTCCCTTCTTCAGAGGATGCTATAAATCACAAGATGTGTGCATTTAAACATTCCAACAATAACTTGCCCTCTGCTCAAAAGAGCAAATGGAGGGCTATTGCCAGCTGCTTCAAGGATGCTATATAATTATTTAGTAGTAGTATTACAATTAATTTATCAGCTTTGAAACCACTGTCTCAAGGCAATTTACATAGGGAACAGTTCAAAACAGTTCAAAACACAACAACACCACAAACATTTAAAACAAACTATAGTGTGGATGGTAAGAACTTAAACATGGGAAGAGCCTCCTTGGGTCAGTCTGAAACAGGATCCTGGGCAAGCAGAAGTCTCTAGGCAGCTCATAAGCAAACTGAGCAGGGGAAGGGTCTGTAGTTCAGTGGCAGAACATCTGCTGTGCATGAGAAGGTCCCAAGTTCAGTCAATGTGGCTGAACCATGCCTCAAGCCCTGTCTCAACATAAGACAGATTCCTACGTTCGTGTCACAAGCTGTTGTGGGTTTTAAAAACTCTTCTAACAATAACATGGGCTCCACTCAAGTGACAGGGATGTTGGTGTAGCCTGCAAGCTATATGTTGCCTGCTCAGTGCATCCCTATAAGTACTCATTGGCCTTCTACATGTGTCACCTGCAATGTGATGCCAAGAAGGCTTCAGGAATGCAAAGAGAAGGCAGGATCACATTCCCCCCTGCCCATTAAATCTTAGTACACCTGCCTCTCCCACTGTGATTAAAGATAAGTCAGGGCTGTCTAAACATCCCTTAAATCATCCCTCTGGTGGGAGGTGATTTATGCTGAGTCCAGAGGTTTTATTAAATTCCAGGCTATCGCCCCTTGTTCTTGCAGGTGAATTGCCAGTCAGTACCTCCCTGACATATCCATCAACATGGCAAGCCTGGCACTGCCTGCATCCTCCCTGTGAGGCTGAGATTGCATGTCTGCTTGCCCTCTTTGTTCTTTGCCCCCCAGATTCTTCCTTTGATCTGTGTTATCTTGAGAATTCTAAATTCTTGGAAAGAAACCCTAACCATGGCATGGCTGAGAACTGCCAAAAGTTAGAGGAGGGCTCATGGAGTTTGGAGAGGTATCCCCTCTGTCCCCCCCCCAAAAAATACCTTGTTGTTACACATGAGAACCATACAGGGTTAAGGGCCCTGGGAGGAAAATAGCTCGTTCAAGTCATCTTGCATTGCTATGTTTTTATATGTACTGTAAGCTGCCCAGAGTGACTGGGGAAATCCAGTCTGATGGGTGGGGTAAAAATAATAAAATTATTATTATTAAGGCAGGAAACTACTACATGGTATATCCATGTAGGTGATATTCACATATCCAGATAGGACACTCTCCATGCTACTGAACCAGCTACTGGGCACTCCTTGGAGAAGAAGAGCAGGATATAAATGTCATTACCTAATCAATCAATCAATCAATCAATCAATGGTGTTGCTTTGCTTGTATTTCCCTGATCCTCAAGGACCATGGAACAAGCATGCTTTCTTTACCAAACCATCTTCTGAACCAAACCATTTACTTATCCAAATGGCACAGGGCACATCTGACATGGATTTGACCATCAGAACTGCATTGTCCGGCTGGGAACCTTGAGGAACTATCTGGGCTACAGAAGCTCGTCCAAATAGTGTGCGTTTTATGAGGGTTTCTCTTGCCCCTCAGGATCTGAGGTTTTGAAGCGAAGGAGCTTCATACTGCAATCCGATTGAACTCAGTGGGGCTTACTTCTGGGGAGACATGTAGGATTGCAATGCTAGCCTTTCAAGAGTGAAGGTGTGGAGGGCTCTCTTTTTAGAACCTAGTACACATGCTGGCTTCCCTAGTGGCTCATGGTTAAACTCTCTCTGCACTATTCACAAGCTGTAGCCAAAGTTTGTAGCTGATCCCAGATGTGGATGCCACATTGAGTCAAACTTTGGCTTAGCTCAACACCGCATGGGAGAAAAAAGGACTGGGGGAGGGGGCAAAGTGGCTGCAAGCTCAGTCCCAGGACATCATAGTTTGACTTACCATATGAACCAAGCCATCGTCTAAAACTAGCTGATATAGTAAAAGAACAGATTTGACATAAACAGCTACTAAAGTGAAACGTGTCTGCAGATTCACTTAGATTGCAGTCCTATGCACACTTATAGTAAGCCTCACTGATAGGGCTTATTACTGAGTGAACATGTATTATTGGGCAGACTCAGATATATAATTATCGACTAAATGTAGTGAAAGCAGAATAACTCTTATTTGTACCTTCTGTGGTTATTCCTAAATAATGTTTGATAACAAAGCAGGTTTCTCAGGTGGCTTGAGCTTTCCTTATGAATAGCATCCCTCCCTCCCACATCATGAGTTATCTGAGTCTGGCTGTGATGATGGACACTCACTCAACACAGGGCTCTTTGTTATTTTAAGAAGGATGGGACCATCATGTATTAAGTGCACCATGTGGATTTATTTCACAGTTAAGTGTGGACACACCCACAGTGATAATGGAACAGGAAAATGTCTTGGGGCAGGCCGTTTAAAAACAGACATGCATTCTGTGTGCTGATAGATTTGCAGAATGAGCTTTAGAAAGAAGGGTTAAATGGGGAGAGGAGGGCAGCCGTGCTATTAACTCTGTGCATCAACCTCCCGGCCCTGTAACTGCTTGTTCACCTTAGGCAAGCATTCCAGACCCCCTTCATTAAGCTGTCTGCTTCCTACTCTGCAATATACAAATCACTCTCTAATTAGGCTCCATTTGTCTGCTACTCCCTCTCGGCAAGGCACATGCGTGTGCCCAGATTTCACTGCAACTGGATCTTGGGGAGCAAGAGCAATGATTTGTAGCTGCCAGTCTTTGGGCATAGCCTGCTTGCCAAAGCAAACTTCGAGTGTGGCTGAGACTAGATATTTATGAGTCCACTGCTTCTTTTTTAAAAAAGAGGCCAGGTCCCAATGTAGTTTGCAAAACTTTTTTTGCTCGCCTTCAGACCTCAGTTGGGCTCCCAAAAGGAGGTTCCATAGATTTGTAGAGTTGGAAGGAACCCTATGGAACATCTATTCCAACCCCTTGCAATGAATGACTCTGCAGCTGTCCCATATAGGGATCAAACCTGTGACCTTGGTGTTATCAGCACCACATTCTAACCAACTTGTAGTTTCAATGCTAAACAGGCAAAAATACCATCTGGTGCAGTCAGGCACAAATCAACCATTTCTTTTCTTTTTCAATGAATATCAACCTCCTTTGCTCTCCTGGGGAAAATTTTCCTTGCTCTCCCTCTTAGTTTAGCTTCTGATGCTGAGCCAAGGTGGTTTCATTTCAGAGAGCTTTGTTGTTGTTGGTATCCTAAATTCAAGAGGGTGTTTGTTGGTTGGTTGGTTGGTTTTGTTTCAGGCTCTTTTGCTGAATGATGACAAACTGCTTATTTATTTTTATTTTTTCCTTTAAGTATTATTCTCTTACGTTTTATTCCACTGGCTTTCATTTATTGTTATGCTTGCAGTTTAATTAAGTGGTTTTGGCTGTTTATTTTATGCAGCATTTTGCTGTGGTTTTCAAACACTGGTTTTTGTTAGCCAACTTGGGGAGTCTTGGCCTGACAATATAAAATAATAAAAAAAATATTTTAAAATAAATAAAAGCTAACAATGCTGGGAGTTAAAGACCGAACAAAGAAATGGGAGGGAGGTGGATAGAAAAAGGAAGTGGAAAGCCAAATCGGATTTGCATGCTACTTCTATTTAATGTGGGTGTGAGGAACTTGCAGGACTCTCTGGCTCTAGGGACTCTCTCTACAGGTCACAGCCCATCCCCCTATCACCAGCTCTGTTTCACAAGCCCCTTTAGTCTTTTTGTCAGGATAGAATGTGCCCTTGAACTGTAGTGATGCCTCTTGCTTGTCTGAATGGAGGACAGAGAGAGGTGTGTGTGGAGACTAGCCTGTGCACAAAGGTAAAATTCACATTCATTGCTTCAGCAACTTTTGCCTCTTTCCCCACCCAACACTGGCATGCTACCCCATCCCTTCCCCAAAGACGTCCCAGAAGGGAATGTAGCCCACAGGCTGAAGGATGTTCCCCATCCAATTTAATGTTTAGACCCACAAGCTGCTATGTGCTACACAGAACCAAAAGTAATCTTAGGTGATCTCTATCCAGATAACTTAGAGCAGAAGCAGATTTTGGGAAGTGCAGCCAGTTTGGTTGCACTGGGCACAGAGCCTTGGGGACGCCACAAGGGATGGTGCAGCTATGATGTAGAATGGAAGGTGAGAGGTGGCATCACACAGGGCATCTCTGAAATTTGAGACCCCATGTTTTAACTATTAGAACATCTCCCAGAAGACTTGAAAGGCAGCATTGATGTCAAAACAACAGGTGACTTGCACTTGAAATGTGTGATCACAAAGGCTAAGCCATGGGAATCAGACACAGCAGTAGAGTAACAACACCCACAAAACCCCACATAACCCTATGGGCTGATCCATACCACTGTCCCCTAGAAAACATTTAGGACTAAATCAGAGCAAATGTCAATCCAGTGAAAACCCAATTGAAATTTGCTCCAATTCAGCAGTAAACATTGAGTTTTCCTGGGGGAAAGCAGAATTGTCAATGAGCCCTAAGTCCAGCCCTAACTACAGCTGCCATAGAATCATAGAACTGTAAGTTGGAAGGAACCCTAAGGGTCAAGTTGTCTAAGCCCCTGCAATGCAGGAATCACAGCTGAAGCATCCCTGCCCATTTCCTATGCTGGTTTAGGCTGATGGTCTTGTGCTGATCTGGAGAGACACCAGATTGAGGAAGGCTGTTTCAGAACACCCTCATCACCTCAGCCTATCTTTTGAAGCGGGGGAGGGGGACTGCAGCTGAACAGAGATAGATACAGGTCAGCTGGAAGCTACCTTATTCAAAAGCAGGATTTGAAGACCACAAATTTAAGGCCGTGGTGTTGTTCACTTATTGCTATGGGCAATGGATTCAGAACCTTGTGGCCCCAACCTGCCTCTTGAAGCAAGGCAACAGCGAACAGAAGATCCATTTTCTAGGGGCCACTTTTCCAGTTCCCTGACCAATTCCCCCCCCCCCATCACTTGCGTGTTGTGTGTGCTCATGTGCACCAACTTATATGCATAAGGCACTTGCCAACTCAGGTAAATCTTATTCCCTTCCTGGGCCTCAGTGAGTCAACGAAAGCCCGGTAGATTCCAAAGGGCATGCAATCTTTTTTAATAAAAAAAGAAACACACACACCTTGTGGCTTTCTGAGAGGATGGCAGTTTGTTCTCCCTCAGATCAAAGGAATGAGTGGCAGTTGGCAATGGGAAGGAAATTCCACGCCAGTCCGTTTCTGCAGCTGCTAGCGGGAAGGCGGTTCCATGAGCTCCTCCTGAAACACGTCCAAGTTCTGAGGCTATTTTCCCATCAGGAGCCATCCATGCACACATCTGTCAGAGCAACGCTGTCTCCATGCAGCAGAGTGCACCCACAACAAAACTTGAAAAAAGCAGACAGAGGACTTCCCTGGTTCTTTGGAGGTGGTTGGCTGGCAGGGAGAGAAATCCCCTCCGTTTGGAGCTGTTGGGTGGTGAGGCAGAAAATTAAAGGTGCCATTTCCTTGACTGGCCTGATACACAAGCCATCATATGTTGTACTGCTGCTGGAAAGATTTGGAGCAGCCTGATGCCCTCCAAATGTTTTGGACTACAAGGCCTAGGAGGGAATCTTCTGCAAGAAAAGAATAGTCCACATTATGTTTGCTGCTTCCTCTGCCTAATCCCTTCAGCCTTTAATAATACGTACTTTGTTCTGATTTTCCTGAAAAACTGAAAATGCTGAAAAATACACACTGATGTGTCTCCATGCAAGGTTATAGCAACCCCTAGAGTGGCTATAGCTGTCTCCTGGTGTCACCCAGATGTTTTGAACCACAAATCCCAGAATTCCTGACCATTGGTCATGCTGGCTGGGGCTCATGGGGGTTGTAGCGCAAGATATCTGTTAGGCACCAAATTAGCAAAGGCTGGGACAGAGCATGCTACTTGCTGACCTTCCCTCATTCACTGGCAGAGGAAGAGGAGTGCAGGGGGAGCACACCACCCCCAGTGGTGCGATCCTGGTGGGGTGCCATTGCAGCTGCCCCCCCACCTGCGCTGGGTGCCATGCCCCGAGGACGTGTGTCATGCCCCTGTGGGAGGCACGCCACACCCCCGGGACGCGTGCCAGCCATGCCCCCGCCTGCTCTCCACCCCCTGGCGCCGGAGCATGAAGCTCCACCACTGTCCTCATTGCATCCATACTGCATTTACCAGCACATGTAATACATTGCATGGACTGATCAGTCCTCCTCCCAGTCCCCTGCAGTTTGCTAGAACCTATGGACAATGCAGTGCCCTTTTTCAAGCTGAGATGCTAAAAGATCCAGCTTCCAAATCTGATCAGAAAATCATTTTTAAAATACTGAAAACACACACAACCACCCCACACCCCAATTTTAGGACTGACTCCATGGAAGAATGAGTTCTGGCTCTTGAATGCCAAGGCAAAACATACTCATATGTACAACCATCCGCACAGAGATGGCTTGAAGTTGCATCTGTGTCATCATCATCATTCCAGTTGGAGAGCTGCTTACTTGCAGGGGATGGTAGCAACTCAGCATGGCTGGCATCTGCTCAAAGGCTTTGTGGCAAAATACCCCAGGATAGAAAATTAATTTGAACTCTCTAATAGAGCCATCTGTGTTTGAGTTTCACTGGCTCGCTAAGAAATACTGTGAGGTTGATTTAATTAGCTGAGGCCCCTTTCTGCTGACTCAGGACCACAACAGGCCTTCTGGCTTTACCAAAATACACAGGGCAAGTCTGTTGCCCATCCATCCATTCCCAAGGTTGCAGATGGGATCGCCCACCAGCTGTGGCTGGGAGAGGCCCCATAGAGAAGACTTTGCCAACCTGGTGTCTCACAGATGTCCCATCATCCCCTGGGAGTGGCAGTCCAAGCCATTTAGAGGTGAAGCCTGCTTTGGAGTAATGCAGCTGGCATCTCCTGCCTTTGCAACTTCTTTATCCTATCTGCATCCTCTTCCACTTGATATTCTGGGTGTTTTTAACTCTTCCTCTCTGCCAGTGGGCTGGATGGCACAGCACCGCCTACTGTTAGCTTTGGCTGCTCTCCTTTCATCCTGCTCATCTGCCAAAGTGAGCCTGACAAGGAAATAAGCTGGGTGGAAAACTTTCTAAGCACCCTCCAGCCATGTAACCATGGAAGAAAAAGGTATTGTGTGTGCTGGAATGGAGCTGGCAGGCCCAGAAGTAAAACAAACACAGCACTGGAGAGAGGGATGTGGATGATTTACAGCCCCATCACTCTGTTTTCCATCTTCACATCCATCAGCAAAGCCATTTCCCACATATGATGAAAGGTGCTTGGCAGCTAATGGCCCTGAAGTGCTGACCTGTTGCTCTTTTGCCCCTGCTTATCCTCCCCATTCATCTGCCCTTCATTCTTCTTCTCCTGCCTCTCTTTAACGAGGGGCGAGAACATCCAGCTCTTCCCCTTGGAGTATCTCTGGAAGATTCCTAACTCTGCTCTTTGGTGGAACACATGACAATTCTGCTGAGTCCTTTCTGAAAGTCCTGCATGTATCACAGCAAGCAGGCACAAATGTGAGGGGAAAGCAGGGAGAAAGCTAAATATTTGGCTCTTGTAGTTCATGAAGAAATCAAGAGATAATGTGACTTACTTCGTTTGAGCTGCACAATAGGCCAATTTGTTAAGCGTTACAATGCATCTTTTGATTTCAAAATGCCCGGGAGCAACATGGCTTTTGCCTGCCGGTGATCCAGGAACATTTACAGAAAGACACCTTAGGCTGAACCAAATTGAAAGTCTTTGTGGGATCTGTGCTTTGTATGATTTCTTTTGTTTTGTATTTGTTGGCAGTGTTGCATGCCACCACATCTCTGAGCGGAGTGAGATTCCAGGCACTTTATGTTTCCTTTGGAAATGAGGCACAGCAGGGACTGTGGTGTCTTTATGAAATATGGTTTATTTACACATATATACAACCTGAGCCTATGATGGAGTGGTTCACAGCAGTAAAATACCCAAAGGGTCTTGTTTCTTCCAAATCCGTAGCCTTGGATTCAAGCAGAAATCAACCATGGCTCTCTCTGCCTT